AATTACTGCAGTTTACAGTATATAACTTGAAGTGCTTTGAGACATCCTCCCGTATGAAAGATGCTATACCAAATATAAGGATCATTATTATAAATTAATTATCATCAGGTTCACATAATAATCCTTACATTTGATATAGCACCTTATCACGTCTTCTAGATGTCTCAAAGTGCTTCACGGAATATACGGTGAAGCAAATTGACTGTATATTTTGTGGGCGAAATGACGAGCAATTCTGGGACAGCTCTTCTGATTTTCGGTGCCTCTTTGTAAGAAACCATTTAGCCTTTACTCAGCACCCCCTGTCAGTGCAATGGCGAGCTAGGATCAGCAGCTCTAGAAGCAGTTCACAGTTCACAGTTCACACCTATGTCCGATCACAACCAAGATTCGGTAAATGGATGCTCCAAATTTCAATTGTACCACAACCAGTGAAGAGAGTTTGTAATTCAGATAAATAAATTATGTTCGCATAGGATGGGAAAAATTCTCACTCTAAACTCACAAGAGTTAGCAGGTGGGAAGGTGAATGGCTTGAAGGGCAGCTTACCTAAAACGGAATAACAAGATGGTGAGTAATGAGGGGAAAGGAAAGTATAGAGGAAAAGAGGAAAAGGAAAACATATGGAAGAAAGAAAAAAAGCTGTATAGATTCACTTGGAGTTCAGCGTGAAATCCAAAGCTGTCCAGTGTGATAAAAGAGATCAGTTCCACCTTGGAGGATTCCAGAAGGAGTTTGAGATTAATTTACGATTAGAATTGTCCATTTTCTTCAGAATAAATCGCTATGTAAGCATAGAGGCCTGCTCCATGTTGTTCATGCACTGTGGGTTATGTGTGTATTGAAATGTGTTCAAACCAGCTGATTAGAGGCATGTTAACTTTGTTTATGAAGGAAGAATAATTACCTGGGAAACAAAACTTTTCAGGTCCCTAAGAAGTGAATGATTGAACTGAAAACACTTTCAGTTCAGTAAAGTAATAGAATTGTTAAAACTGAGAAATGCATGAGCCCGTCATTTGGGGGTTTATACACTTCTAGAACACAACAGATGCCACAAGTTGATCTTGTGGTTTTGTGCAAAAAGATTCGCATTCAGAATATTTCTTTAAATAAAACAGAATGACATAGTTAGCACACACGAATGAACTAGGCAAAAAATGTAACCAGATATTCAAAGACTTCTATCCAGCAGGTCAAAGGAAATCCATTAAGAATTATTAATGTAGCCACCCCTCTGCTCTGCCTACATGAAAGACTCTGCCAAGTCAGAATCACAAATAACCTCTCAAACAGAGTAACCCACTCACAGCAATTTTCATAAAGAGAAATGAAAGAGATGATAAGAGGTTTGGGAATAGAATGCAGATGGTGCACCAACACCTGCTGAGATGCTTCCAGGAGACAGCGACACTGCAAATAAAAACACTGTGGACATAACAGATCCTTCCAAGCACCAGTCAAAAGTTTCATGTTAACACTTTGTAGGACAAAGTCATGAATTCCACAAAATTTGAAGATTTTGGAGAATGGGAGAGGTTTGTTGCAGAATTTATGTTGGATTGCACTTTTATCTGCTTTGAGATCTCAGCAATCATCCCATTTTCATGAGAAGCAACATAAAGTCACAACCAAAAAATATTGGGCACATTGGTGAGAAACTCATTAGTCAGGGAAGCTCTGTGCCATAAAGTCAGGTTTAAAGAACAAATTAGAACTCCATTTCCAAAATTATATAGCTGCTTGGTTAAATAGGAACAACTGTAAATGACATGTCTTTAAGGTCTATGATATCTACAGAGTATTATTTTCCTAACAAATAGTCATATAAAAATACCACATACCCCTGGATGTTTCAGTCCCAGATATTTGATTGGGAAATATCTCACAGCTCTCACCTCCTCCACCTACCCGACCTCCCCCTAAAACTCTCCGAACCCGTATGCAACCTAGGCGTTAGGTTCGATCCCCAATTATCCTTCCTCCCCCACATCTGGTCCCTCACCAGCACCGCCTTCTTCCACCTCCAACGCATCGCCCGCCTCCACCAATACCTTTCTCCGAAAGCCCCTGAAACCCTAGTCCATGCCTTTGTCACCTCTCGGCTGGACTATTCTAAAGCCCTCCTCGCCGGTCTCCCATCCACTACCATCCATAAAATCTAAATCATTGAAAACTCTGCCACTCGCATTCTCACCCGCACCAAACTTCGCTCCCCGATCACCCGAGTCCTTGCCAGACTGCACTGACTGCCTGTCCCAGAGAGGATCGATTTCAAGATCCTCACCCTTGTATTCAAATCTCTCCACTCATCTGCACCCCCCTACTTCTCTGACGTCCTCAAAACAGTAGCTGTTGCCTTCATTCCTCCAGGTCTGGCCTCCACCTCGTCCCCCGAAACCTCCACTCCACCCTCGCAGCTGTGCCTTCAGCCACTATGCCCCGAGGCTCTGGAACTCCCTTCCTCACTCCCTCCCTTCCTATTTTCATGTCTCTGCTGAAGACCTTTCTTTTCGACCGTGCCTTTGGTCACCTTCTTTCCCCTCCCCCTGGCTCGGCCCTGGGATCCATTGCTGTAAAGCGCTCTGAGATGCCATCCGGCATGGAAGATGCTATATAAATCCAAGTTGTTGTCAAGTTGTTGTTGAAAACCTCCAATTCAGTTTACAGAGCAAATTATTACTGGGGTTGTCATAAATAATGATATCACTTCAATATCCTACACTAAAAGCCCCCACCTACCCCACTCCAGTTTGTTGTTTTGGATGGCATTCTTCCCACTCTCTACAATAGAGGGAAATTCAATCTAGAAGCCGGATAAATTCTCACAGTCTTAGCCTTCAGGCACTGCTTTAAAATTTAAGGTTGTAAAACATTTTGGAAAGATTCTAAATGAAGTCTTTTAACCCCCTCCCCCACCCGATTGAGTCCGAGAGGCATTCTAGTGAGTCGTCAACATTACAGATTTGCAGATTTCTTTATCAAGGTGGTATTTTTCAAACTACTACAGAATTGGTCAAGTGCTTCTGCCATGGCCTTTTTTTTGTTGGAGAGTTTCAATTTGTTTGTGAAGAATTTGGCCACTTTGGCCCAATCTTTGGACATTCTCCTCTGCAGCGTCTCAGTACATTCAGAAGAGTAACTGCACAAGTAATTGGTATCACGCAGTAAACTCTAGTTTTAAATTGTCAAATCATATTGTTTAAAGAAGCAGAACACTCTAAATAAACAGAATATATATATAGTTTCTCAGAAGTAAATGGCTCACGTTATAACTGTCATATATCTTTTGTATATCTTTTGCAGAAACTTCCTTATTTTCTTATGGCAACATCATGCCACTACATATAAATCATGCTTAGACTACTGGCAAGTACAGGGAAATTCCAGCCTCTCTGGACAGGCCCTTTTTTGTTTGTTTCCAGTTTACTCAGAATGACATTGAAAACAAATTCTCATCACAAAGTCACTCCAATGTCAAGAGCAGATTTATTATTGTAACATTAATCTTAAAATACAATGCATAAAAAATCAAACATATGGAGCATTTATTTTGGGGGTTTTAAGATATAACTTAGTATCAAGAATCTTCCTATCTATAAATCTTGAAGCACTATATAGCTTTCAAATGATTCAACATTTACTGAAAGCTGTAAAATAAGGAAAAGCTTAAAGATAACTTCCAGAACCATTATTGGATCCAAGATAGTTTGACAGAAAGTAGTGCCAACAAATCAATTGTTGGCCAATTAAATATTTCCTAGATTCAACATGACCAAACAAAGTAAAATTGTCTACTACACATGTATTTCAATTGCAGTCTTGTCTTTATTATAACTGGGCTGAAACTGTGGGATTCTTCTAACTGAAATTGTATGGTGGTTAAGCAGACAGCAGAGGAGAAAACAAACTGCAGAGAACACGAGATTTGTCCTGAATTTCCATGACACAATTCCTCTGAATCACCGTGCAGTGGATGTACAGATTCTAACCTGGTGTTGGATGCAGAAAGTTCCCTAGGCTGGTATGGAATCTGAGTGTTCCATAACTATAGCTGTCTGTTGATACTTCAAATTTCTACGCGACACATTTCCTTCAAGAATTCACACTAGCTCCCTTAGATATTTGAACTGGATTCAGAGAGCACAGGATTGTGCTGGGGAATGCTTGCCTGACTGTCAGTCATTCGGAAAGCTCTATGTTAATGAACCATCAACTAATCATGAATAAATTGAAAGTGGCATCTAAAAGGAGAATTTGTAAACATTTCATTCATGTTCAACAGCAAATAAATATTCAAAAGATGATGATGCTACAGAATACATTATACAACCCTGTTTTCAATAAACACACCACATCATCGTAGAGGTAAAGTCCGTGTAAATTGTCACCAATTGTACAGAAAGTGTGATCCAAAAGTTAATTCCCCTCCCCCCTCCCAAATACAAACTTTTCTTTTACTCACTCATTAATAGAAACCTGGCAAAATTAATGAAACTGAGAGGAATACACACAGGACTTAAAGAGGCAACGTTTTACCAAGTGCAAAGTAATGTGAAAACCAGTATCACTTAGGATTCATTGGTGAAAATGAAAGTGCCGCAGCATTTATGCTACAGATAAGGCCAGACATCTGGTTGATGTGGGGTGGTGGGGAATTTATACCAATTCATTCATATGGGCTAAACCCTATCCTGTCTGTATGATCTAATTCCACACTTGAAATGTTATATAAAATACAGAATTAGTTATTTGCTAAATGTATGTATGGGCAGTGCAGAATGACCCTGATTTTATCTGAGCAAAATCCAAAACATCCACTTTTTAAACAAAATCATTTCAAATAAACCACATAATGATGAGGAAGGATTGAATATGTCATTTGGATGGACTTGTGCCCCTTTGTGGTTTAAAGTTGGGAAAGCAGTCAATATTAAATTGTAAAATTACAAATCGGATAGAGCAGCAAAGAACTGCAAAGAAAAGGAAGGTCACTTACTAGAATTAGGGTCGGAGTTGCCGTCAGCTTCAGTCCTCTTGTCTGGGGAAGCCTGGTCGTAGAACTCATCCTGCGGCTGAACCAGAGGGAGAGGGTGTGAGATCAGCGTGCCACCATTTACAGGCTCGTGGTCTCCTAGGCCACTATCACTGCAGCTTTCCTGGGAGCCGTCGGGCAGGTGAAAGGTAACGCGGCGCTGAGACTAGAAAGAAGAGCAAAGAACATGGAAGTTAATGCTCTTCTTTGCTTTTTGCTTCCTTTTGGACAAACTACTGTACAGTCTTTAAATAGATAGTCTCTGGATTACAGAGTAAAATAACCTTTTTTGATTCAGAACAACCGTTCCAATTTCAACTACAAATGATTTGAGTCAGAAGATATCAAAAGGCATGATTACAGAGTCAAATAATAAATTCTAAAATAATTAGGTAAATAAGTTACGTACAGTATCTATGGAAAAGACACATAGATGTCACCATAAATAGCATATACATGTTTCTAGGGGATATTAAATAAGTTAAATCTAAATAACACTGTGCATGTGGATATATTCAATTGGTTTCATTTATTTTCTTAAAAAAAAGTTTATTTTGGAAACATTGACACTTGAGGACTCATTCCTCGAAGGAAAGCCACAGCACAGATTATAAAATGAAAGGATGAGGGTGACCTGCATGAAGTTACTTTCTATTTAAATAGACGAGAGGTCATTGGAACGTTCCTGATCCCAGAGATGGAGTTCAGATAAAAATAGGACACCGGTACTGACTTCACTGAGTCGGTATCCTGTCAAGCATCCCCGAAGCGCTTTCTCCAGGATTTAAAAACTCACTCCAATGATTTTTTCAATTCACAAATACTGTAGGATGAATTCTATACATTGAAGTTAGGGGTGAAGTGTGAGCACATTGAGTTCCATCACCTTCTTTTAGAAATGCGTAGCTGGAAATGCATGGCATTTCATAATGTATTCAACTTGCGTTTGATCATATTGAATCCATAATTAAATATTAATTTCACCGAAAAAGAGAAGTTAGAGGAATTTTACTGTGCAAACCTTTGATCACCCTTTTCTCTACCCAACTCATTATTAGATTATGTCTCGCTCACTCTCAGCTTCCTGGAAGAGATATTCAAGTTCAAAACTATCCAAACTGAGAGGGATCTGCTATTTTAAACAAGATAGTAGAGAAAAAATATGTAAGTGACCTCTACATAACCTAGACTCCCTGCAGGCTACATGTTTTCATCTATCAGTTTGTTGCAGGGGGACTGTTTCAGTTTTATAGTCTACAGAACAGTGGCAGGCCATTCAGCTGCAGTCTTTGTGTCACTTTTCTCAAGTGCCCAAGATAGATCTGCACCCACATCACATACACAAGCCCCACCGCAGGCACATCAGAAAACAGAGTTTAAAACAATGGGTTTCTGGTATAAAAAAATCAAAAAATATGACTCAAATTTGGAATGTTATTGATAAGCTATTCTAATTGCTTTAAAATGTTATTTCTGTCAATAGAGTAGATATTAGCAGGTCTGACCCACACTGCCTGCACACCTCTAAAAGGAATAGCTGTTTTCATTAGAGCTGCAGCATCTTCTCCAGACTCTCTGTTTGTTTGTACCAATAAATATAACCAAATGGATCCTTTGAAATAGCATGACACTGATGGGCATTTGATTTACAGTCTGAAACTGCCTAAACTTGATGTGAAGAGTGTGCACTTTCTCTCTTTTGTCTTCAATAAAAATGTACAACAATAACTTGCATTTATATAGTGCCCCTTACGGAGGGTAGCGTCCCAGAGCACTTGACAGTGGTGGAGCACAACACCGATCTGGGGGGGGCGAGATGACCGTAGGCACGATCAAATAGGCGCGACCTGAAGATGAGGAAGGGGCAAGGCTAGGGATAGAGGAAGAGTGTTCTAGAGTTTCAGGGCACAGTGGCTGAAAGCGTGGCCACCAATGATGGAACGGAGGGCACGAGGGGCATGCAGGAGGCCGGAGCCAGTCGAGCGGAGGCAGCGGGTTGTGGTTTGGGTGGTAAGCAGGTCGGAGAGGTAGGAAGGTGCCAGGGCATGAGGGATTTGAAATCAAATGTGAGAATCTTGAAATCAATTCGTTCAGCGATAGGGAACCAGTGGAGCCTGGCTAGAACATGCGTGATGGGGATACAGAGTTTAGTATGGGTGAGTAAATTTAAGCCATCTGAGTATTGCAGCTTTGCAATATTTTAAAGAAATGTGGCTTTCTCTCTGATCACACAGAAAATTTGAAACAGAAGAAGGTCATTCAGCCACCACAGTACCAGCCTGGCTCAGTAGCACACTGTTGTGAGTTAAAGTCCCATGTGCTGCATTGTTATAAGTGCTGTCCTTCAGATGAGACATTATCTTGTATTGTCTTGTGTAAATTGAACTCCTGTCTGTTTGTTCAAGTGGATGTTTGAGATCCCATGACACTATAAAAGAGAAGGGAGCTTCTTCCAGTGTGGAGGACAATAAGTGAAGTGAAGCTAACAGCAACAAAACAAACTGGAGTCAGCTATTTTATCTTGCCACAGAGAATAACACATGGCCTGAGACATTGAACCCAGATGACTGGGTTAGAAAAGGTTGCCCTGTATCTATTGTTGAGTATTAGAAGAGCAGCTAGTAAAGTAGACATGTGGCACTGAACCACAGAGAATTAGACTGAGAAACACTTATTCTCTTGATATATCACTGAATCATAGAGAGTAAGACTGAGAAAGTCCTGTGTTTGATCCTTGTGCTGAGTTAAGGATCTAAAATTGGCTTTCGTGTCATCGGACAAGTAGGGAGAAAAAACAAGCTTTTTGATCATTATCAAGTGACCCCTGCTGGAAAAGTGTGGACAGGATCAGGATTGGCTGTTATGATCTCCCATGGTCAAACAGCCTACTGACACTATCCAATTACACACACAAAAAAAGAACATTTGCCAGAAACCGGGGAAATTCCCAGCTCTGTGCTTCTTTGGCGCACAATGTATTTTCTACTTTGAGGGAAAGAATTTGGACAAATCACATCTCACAATAATGGCATATGTCTCTTTTACAATTCAACATGATCACATAATTCAAGATATCAATGATATTGCTGTAATACCATTGACTTCATCAAATACACTCAGGGGGTGGACTGTCTAGATGGAAAATACGAAATTTTCCCAATTGCCGCCGTGAATGGTTGCTGACACTTACCACCACAGAGCCCGACATCCGGGTGAATGACAGCTCGCACCAGCCGATCAATAACAACAAACAGTCTTTATATGAATGACCAATTTTATCTGTGGGATTGTGGGCCAGAATGTTGGCAGCAACTCCCTTTACTTTTTGAACAACAATCTTTAAAATCAACCTGAAAAGCCAGTCAAGACCTCAGTTTAATGTCTCATTTGAAGGCTGAGACATCACAACCTTCTGATTCACAGATAGGAGTCCTACCAACCGAGTCAGGCTGGCATTGTTGATAACTATGATAAACAAACCTATTCACTAATTAAAAACAGTAAATAAAGACTATCACTAACTGAAGACAGTCACTAACTAAAGACAGTGAGTGTGACTCCCTCTCCTCCCTCCCCTGCTGTTTTTTACTATCCTTAATCCAGGAATGCTGAAGCGAGTTGCAATGTCCTGTCTGAATCAATTAATTGTGCATTGACCAGAAATCAAATCCATGGCGTTCGTATCTGTATGGATCAATTATTTCTACCAGTAATGGTTTTCCTAACTGAGCCATCGGAGGAAGCTCATTTTTTTCATTTCTTTAGGTTCTGTTTGTCTCTGTCCCCTCACTAGGCCGTTCTCTTTGACCGTGCCTTCAGCTCCCCTCTCGACTCTCTTCCCCCTCCTCGCTCCCTCCCTTCCCTCCCCTCACCCTGACCATTTCCCCCCTGCTCGAGTCATGACCCAACTGTGCAGCGCCTTGGGACGTCCTCCTGACGTGAAAGGCGCTTTATAAATGGAATTTTGTTGTTGTTGTTGTTGTACTGAACATTTTTCTTGCTGCTTGTCAATCACCTAATTTAAAAAGATGATAACAATTACTTCTACATCATGTTAATGGAGGTAATTAGAGAATACAAATGATGTATTTATATATTTTCCTGAGGATTCTGTTCAGATTCGGTCAATATACTGAAGACTTCTAGTTTAAGTTTGTAGTCCCTACGGTTTTTACTGCAAACATTTTCTCCGCTGCACGTATTGCATACATTGCAACAAACCAATTATCATTCGAAAATGAAGTTTTTAAAAAAATAATTAATAATAATAATAATCCTTGCATTTGATATAGCGCTTTTCACGTCGGGAGGACATCCCAAAGCGCTTCACAGAATACACTGTAAAGTGAATTGACTGTATATTTGTGGGCAAACGCGGCAGCCAATTGCGCACAGCAATGTCCCACAAACAGTCGTAGATTGAAAATGACCAATTTATTATTGTTTTTAGTTTTGGAGGGATTATTATTAGGCGTGTGGAGTAAGGAAACTTGCCCAAGGTTTCGCCCTCTGCCTGGAATTGAACTCAGGTCTCTCGCTTGCAAAGCGAGTGCTCTAACCACTGAGCCACAGGACTCCACGATAATTCTTTATACAGTAACTATTTTTATTTGAGGCAGGTGACTTTTCAGAATTGTTTTTGCACTGCAATCCCTTTTCTTCCCCCCGATGGCTTCAAGTATAATTGTGCATATTCGCAAATCGTACAATGTATTATATTCCAAATACGATCTCAATTCACCGTTTCTAAGCAGCAGTAATTTGCCAGGTCCCCGAGGCTCACTGTCTGTACAATGTAATGATGGGACTTACTGTATAATCATGCTCAATACAGAAGAAAAATCCCTCTCTTTTTAACTATTTACATACACCAAGGAATATTAGGATTATTTGAAATATCCATACAGTGATAATTTAAAACATGATAACTTAGTGATTTTATAGGTATTTTTGGTGAGATATTTTATTTTTGCCTTTTTTAATCCACTTTCCTACATTAGATTTGCTGCTGTAACGATTCTCTAATCGTTACCAATACCCCACCCCTTAGCCAGTTGCCAAAGATTGCCAGTTGTGACTCCCTGTTACATTTCCTTCCTATTCTTCAGACATATCCTGCCATCAATGTTCCTTCCCTTCTCCCATGTATGATTTGATTAGGAACCA